ATTTGCTAAACCCTAAACCCTAAACCCGATTTGCAGCCATCTTAAGGCCCTGGATGTAGTGTAGGGAAAGGGTTTAGGTTGGGTACTGCCCCCCCTCAGTAACAGTTGGATAATGAGTATAATATGGTTATATATAGCCCTTGATAGGACCCCTAGTATAGCCTGTTACTGGGTGGGGGCAGTACCCAACCTATATAACCCTTTTCAAGCCCTATATAACCCATGTAGAACCCCTTTTCCCATATATAACCCCTATATAACCCCTAGTGGATATAACCCCTATACAAGGGGAAACCAACCTTGAGGCCGAAAGCTTGTTAACGCGAGGGAGACTCCCTCTCACAGCCGGTGCAATGAGGCTTCTGTAACGTACCAGCACGTGGGATGAATAACTCTCAAAAAAAAAACTCATAAGGTGACTATGCCAGGGAATCTTCTCAATTGACTCATATCCTCAATGGCATCACATATGTGATCTTATTTCCTTCCGAGCACAGAGCACAACAGCGTCAATTTTTTGCATGCCAAGCCGCTTCATCACCGTCTTCATTGGCAGTGCCATTGCTGGGAGACTGGAGAGGGCGCGGCGTGCGTTTGATGGCAATAAGGCAGGCTTGGACCACAAAGAGCAGTTCCATAGGTCCTGACTTGGAGGGTCATAGGGACTTAGTAAGCAGGCAAATAATAAAAATAATTGGGTTAATTACATGGCTTATGGGAGTTATTCACCTGCTTACTAAGTCCGCCTGACCCTCCAAGAGCAACGCCTGCAAAGCTACCCCTCTGCTGGTTGGGTCACGCTTCTGATTAGTTGCGTGATGGAAATCCACGCCGCGGTATTCTCGTGAACCTTCGGCGCACTTGCCTTTAAGTAGCCTAACATTGTAGACTGTGGCAGCATATGTAAGAGCATTCTACATTCTACATGTCTTTTATTCTTGGCCTTTGCAAACAGGCACCTTCTGCATGAGTTTTGTTCCCCACAAGAGGCCAAACTTTCAAAACTTCAGGCATTAGGCAACCTGCCCGTATGATCGTCGTACTGTAACGTTCGATGTAGACCGAACTGGCTCCCATAAACATACAACATCCTACACGATCCTTACATACTTCCTGCATGCTACGGTCGACCTATCCAGTTCACAGCTGCATTACCACTTGACAAGGACCACGAGAAACGAATAAACTACAATCCCAGCTGGGGTTTGAAACCTGGTAGAAGCCAAGACTTCCCTCCAATACTTGTGGGCCATCCTCCCTCTGCCTCCTTGTCCTTACTGGGCTTGTAGGGAACAAGGAAATAGTATATAGAACCTATATGTCTATATATACATATATATCTGCTCATATGAGTATACATATAGATATATGTACATAAACCATATTCCCGTAATTCCCTACTAACCACTGGTAAGTTCTGGTTAGTGCATGTATACTGCATACACCTTACTTCTCTCTGTAACCTAAAGGTCGAGCTCGTTGAGGTGTCGACGACATCCGCATGGGATCTGGACAGATTGTCCAGGGCATCATGTCTGCCTAGCAGCGATCACTGAATCCTACTAGGAGGTCCCAAGGACTTAGCATAAATAACACCTGCAGCCAACATGCCAACCCCAGTTTATCCCCCTAATCTTAACCTACCTACTAGGTCCCCTGACCCTGCAAGTACCCTGCTGATGGCGGGGGGGAGGTTTCAAGCATTTGATTCCTCACATTACCTCCGTTGCGGGGCAAAATCTACAGAGCGAAAAGTCTTGGCTGCTGGTGATGAGATTGCTGGTTCAAGAAGGCTCAAAGGCAAAAGGGCAGCAGCAAGTTACAAAAGCAGTCAACGCGAGAAGCACAACCAAAAGCCCATCAATGCTTCTCAGAAGCGTCGTAGTCAGGACACTATAAGAATCCTAAGAACGTCTAGGCTTTGAGGGCTGCCCACATGCGCTGGGATTGCGTTACCAAGCTTGTCCTTGTGGCAATTGAAGTTCTACCCCGCAAGGACTCCTATGATAGCATTTGGGATAATGGAAAATCAAACGGAAACTACTATAATGGAGAATCAAATGGAAAAGAAAATGGAAAATCAACTGGAAACTACTATAATGGAGAATCAAATGGAAAAGAAAATGGAAAATGAAATGGAAACTACTACATTATAATAGGGTATATAAAGCCAAAATTCTAACCCGGCTAATCAAAGTCTATTGGCTTGACTTACGGGAGGTTAGTTGGGAATAAGGGAATAGGGATGATATTCCCTAATTCCTTGCTGACTACCAGTGAGTTGAGGATATTTGGCTGCCAGGCGCTGAAGATTCGTGCTTCGGGCGCAGGGTGTGGAATTTGGAAGCTGGACCCTAAGTCCGAATCCTGAACCCTAAGTCCTAATGCGAAAGCCTGAGTTCCAGTCCCTAAACCCTAAATCCTAATTCCAAAATCCCCAAGTCCCAATCCCTAAGCCTGAATCCATAAGCCCTACACGCCTGGTAAGCACTGCATTGTCTTACGGGTGCTTAGGGGGCAGTGGGGGAGTGAATACAGTGACTATTATAGGAGTATATATCGGGATTATTATGAGGATCCACTCCCCCACTCTCCTTTAAGCACCAATAAGTTATTGCGCAAGCCATGACTCCGATGAAGCACTAAGCCCTGAGCACAAGGCTTAGGGTTCAGGATTTCAAGTGTAGGGCTTGGGATCTAGGGTGCGTGGTGTGGGGTCTAGGGCTTCGGGCGCAGGGTTGAATTTTACAGGCTTATCCTGTATCATTGCCAAGAGATAATGATGAGTTCTTTTTGAGGTGCCCTGTACCCTGATTATACAAGGAATCTAGGACCATAACGTTGGCAATCATTCAGGGCCCTGCGTGACATCCCTTCATAACCCCAAGCCAATGTCTTTATGTTCCCGATAAACATAGAATTGGTCCTACCAATCCTGAACACCGAACCCTAAACCCTGTGAACCCCTAAATTCTAGGTTTAGAGGTTTAGGGTTGAGGGTAAACCTAAACCAAAGGGTCCTAAGTACCCATATGGGGAATACGTACCCAAACCATAAGGGAAATTACTACTACAGAAACCACACTTTGTAGCATATAGGTACTTTGGACATTTTGGGACCTAAACCCTGGGTTTAGGAGTTTGGGGCTGACCAGTCCTCGGCGAGCATCTCGATGGGAACGAAGCCCGGCGGTGGAAATGCGACCTTGGAGCTCCCCTAGGTCTCTGTTGTAGCAAGAATTCTGTTTTTATTGGTGGTTGAACCCTGAACTCCTTGAAGGGGGTTATATGGGGTTTAAGGATTTTGGGTTTAGGGATTTAGGGAATAAGGGTTTAGGGATTTAGCGTTTTTGGTGGTTGAACCCAGTAAGATTATGTTCCTTATATAACATACTATACCCCAAAAGGAGGATATAATCTTACTCTATAATGGGTACAAAGTATCCCCGAATAAAATGCTACTCACAAGGATTTTTAGTCTCCTACGGTTCGGGGGTGTAGAGGGCTACCACTCAAAAGGGGATCCTTGGGACAAATTGTAAAGATGTATAGGGACTTTATAGGGCGGTTCTGGCAATAGGGGTAATCTGGGATGCAGAGAAAACCTTTTATATGAACATACTAAAAACGGAGCATGGAAATTAATTCATATTAGTCCCTCATGGCCATTCCGATTGCAGAAGGGCCCTTCCAATGACTCGTATACAGAGCTTGGCGGTGGTCCTGTTGTGATTTGCAGGCAGCATTCGAAACTTTATCAGAAGAGTTCGGAGAGGGCTTCAGAGTTTGGTTCACGCAGTCATAGCGTTGCAGTCGAATGAAACCAGCATATCCAATTCTTGGAGGCACCCAAGCCCGTTTTGAAATATCCAAACCCTAAACCCTAAACCTGTGTTCTGCTGGCCTTCTCGAACTCAGGAACTATAATGGACCCTTTTCCTGCGAGAAGAACGCCATGCGAATTTTCTCAAGCTGGGAATATATTCAAACTGAAGTTCTTTGGGGAGCTAAGAGATACATGGGGCTAGAATAGCATTATAAGGATCTCTAGGAGCATACAAGCTAGGTAGCTTCAGAAACAACAACTCCAAACACCATAAAACCTAAAACCCTAAGGCCCCTAAACCCTCAAAACCGAAAGGAAGCCAATCCAGCAAAGGCGCCATCAAAGGCTGCAGGAGCTCTGCTTCCTGGTGAAATAGGAGTCCAAACATGAGCATCCCTTGATACCAGGGTTTAGGGTTTTGGGTTTAGAGCTTAGGATCGGGCTATTTGGATCCTCGGTGTCAACGCAAGAATGCAGGATCTTGGCGCCGAAGGGCAGAGCAAGTTCTTCCACTCTTCTAACGAGGGAGATTGCCAAATCCCAATTCGTCAGGGCCATCTCAGGGACTGAGGTTTATTCCGTGCTTTTGAAGCGGAAGGCTCATGAGGGAACTAGGGGGGTGCCTCCGGGAAATCGCCAGTGGAGTTTTCTGTCAGCTCTGACTTAGGTTAGGGGTTTCCCGGAATTATTTTTCCTTGTTGTTTGGGGGCCCCATAGTAAGGCTGACAAAATTCGTTGCATATTCCCCTATATAAGGAAACGCAAGACCTGGTGTCTGCCTGAACCCTAAACCCAAATTCCAAAATTTAAACCTAAAAGCCCTAAATCCAAACTCCAAAATTCGAACCTCCAAACCCTAAACCCCTGTAGCCTACAAGTACTAGGCAAGGCCTTCATGAAGGATGCGAATCGCTTGTTGGCCGACTTTGTCTCTACAAGCTTTCCTTCCTGTCAGGATTCTACTGAGATGGCTTAAGGTTTAAGTGGGTTTAGGGTTTACGGTGACGCTCAGGCATACTTGGGGTTAAGCAGGACTTATACAGTCTACCTGCAACCCAAACTACCTCCAGCACAGCACCAGTTACCCTTTAATCGATAGGCATAACGGCATGTAACCGGTAAAGCTGTAGGTGGGCTGAATAAGAGGTTTTCAACTTCAGGTGGCTACTGACTAAGCTTCGGGCTTTAGGGCTTAAGCCCGAAAGCTTAGGGCAGAGGGTTTATGTTTCCGAAAAGAGGGGGGACCTTTTGGGGGAGTCTCTATAATACGGACTATAGTGGGCAGGGCCCTCCTATATAGGGAAGCTGCCATACGGAGTCTTTACATACACGTGCCTTTGTAAATTCTAGGCCTGCGTGGGAAGGGATGGAGCTTTATTCAGGCTTAGGGTTCAGGATTTAGGACTTTTAGACTAGGATTTAGGGTTTAGGGATTTAGGGGTTAGGGTTGAATGGCGTTCGAAATCGAAGCCTCTACATTATAAAAAGGGTTCATAGCTTGGTAAAAGGGACCTCATTTGTTGACTGCCACTCCCCATCTCTTTCAGACAGCAGAGGGACCACTAGCTTGTACACGGTTAGATTCACAAGGTTCATGGGGTCACTTTCCCAAACGGAGGCCCTATGATAAGGACATTGAAATGGCGTATGTAACATTGCACAGCAGCATCCAGGACTCTGGGAAAGCATATGGACTTCCCAATGTTGCATGCAATGCCCAAACCAGCCTTCAATCT